AGCTGATCTCCAACCCAGATAGCCTGTTATATTTATTAACTTCAAACATGGGAGCGCGGGCGCCCAGCTGATGAGCGAGGCTCTGGCAGCTGCCGGTGCTTTCACAGCGCCGGGTCCTGCGATGGGGGAGCCTGATAAGCGAGAGATTGATCTCATCGCGCTGATGTGCCTCCCCCTCCCTTCTTCTTTTAATACAGATTTTTTTTTTTTTTGCTCCTAAGCGAGCTGGAAGCGAATGTTTTGTCAGAGTTGCAGGGGCCTGTTTGTGGTTATTATTTTTTTTCTTTGTGGCGGTTTTATTTTGTTTTTCCTTTTCCCTTTTTATTCCGCGCTCGGCTACAGTAGATCTGAGCTCCTGATAAGCGCCAAGCCCCGATCTCCATCCTGATAGAGATTGCCAGGGTTGATAAGCGCCACTTATCTCTCCCCACCAGACCGGAGCAGGATTCGCTACAACAACAAACCCAGCAAAGAGGGGCAAAAGGGCTCCAACAATTTGTTCCACTGCAAATGTGATTAACGCGAGGCACTTTAATTATCTGATGGGGGGCAGCTGCGTGTGTGTTTTTATTTCTCAAGGTGGTGGGGTGGTTTTCCCCCTCTCCACGTGCTCCGTGAAGCGAGCTGGGTTGAGAAGCCGAGCTCCCCCAGCTCCTGTTATCGGCTGCAGATGTTGCATTAGTTTGATGAGAGCTTTGACTTTTTTTTGATGATTATCTCCCATTCTGGGGCGGGAGGGGGGAGAGGTGAAAACACCGTCGTATTTTTGCGTGTGGATTTTCTCTAATTGCTATTAGATGGTGTCAGATAAGGAGCGCGATCTGCTGCGCTGTTAAAGCCGCCGTCTCTTGATGATGGGGTGTGTTGGCTCGGGCGGTTTTATTTTTTCCCTTTCCTCCCGCACGCTCGGCTGCTCCCCGGTCCCGCGTGGGAAGGGGACGGTGGAGCCGGGCAGGGGGTGGCCGTGGGAGAGCCGTCCTTCCCCCTTCCCGGGAGCCTGGAAAATTGCGTTTCTTGTGCAGATGACAGTGGCCAAGCCAGCGTCTATTTTTAGCGGCGGCGTGGTGAGCCGGTGGCGTGGGATGCTCCCGGCACGCCTCCTGCCCGCTGCTCCTTCCCTCTGCCTTCCCTCCCTGAGTCCTTCCCTTTCAGGTGACTCTGTTTCAACCTCCTCTGCTTGTTGTGTTTTGGGGTTTTTTTTTGCCTGTTTTTCCCTCTGCGCTCTTTTCCATCCTTGCCACCGCCGTGCCTCAGTTTCCCCATCCCCGCCTCCGGGGTGGGGGTGTTTGGGGAGGTGCTCCGTGGGGTGGGGAGGGTTTGCTCCCGGGATCAGCCGGGTCCCAGCAGAACCTCCCAGCTCCGCTCCCAAAACCGGAATTTTCTGCACATCCCGGGGCTCCCTCAGCCCTCCCAGCCCCACTCGTGGCATCCCCAGGGTGGCATCCCCGTGTCCCACGTGCGTGCTACACCCACGGGTGCTGCCTGCCTGCCAACCCCTCCCCTCTTGTGCAAACGCCCCGAGGCTTTTGCCAGCCCTGGCGCGGTGGCATCGGAGCTGCCAGGGGCGCGGGTGGCAAAGCCCCGTGGCACAGCTGCCCCCGCAGTGGCTCTGCCCGTCCCGGCTGCCACTGGCCTCTTGGGACATGCCGTGGGTGACATCAGGGACTCCCAGGGCTGGGGGAGCATCGTGGTCCCCACGGGTGGGGTGGGATGGGGGGTGACCCATGGGATGAGCCCAGCGTGGGGAGCTCTCCCAGCCCAGCCCCAGGTGGTTCCCACGGGTCACATTCCTGCCCCGTGGAGGGGCTGCCGCAGCCTCAGGGGATGCTGGAAGAAGTTTCCCTCCTCTCCCACAGCCGGTGCTGCAGGTGTGAGCATCCCTGCAGGCCCCAGCTCCAGGAGAACAGCTGGTGGCCAACGGGACAGCTCAGAGCAGGAAACCCGTTCACCATGGATAAGGTGGATGGATTCACCACGGATTCACCATGGAGAAGGTGGATGGATTCACCGTGGATTCACCATGTCCATTCACCATGGATAAGGTGGATGGATTCACCATGTCCATTCACCATGGATAAGGTGGATGGATTCACCATGTCCATTCACCATGGATAAGGTGGATGGATTCGCCATATCCATTCACCACGGATAAGATGGATGGGTTCACCATGGATTCACCATATCCATTCACCATGGATAAGGTGGATGGATTCACCATGGATTCACCATGTCCATTCACCATGGATAAGGTAGATGGATTCACCATGGATTCACCATATCCATTCACCATGGATTCACCGTATCCATTCACCATGGATAAGGCAGAGATGGCACTGCTGCCCAGTGCCACCACCCGGGCCCTGCCAGCCGTGGGACGCTGCATCCCTCGATGCCAGGGAACCCTACGAGCCCTTTTGGGGCCATGCTGGGGGCATATCCCAGGATGGCTCTTCCTGGCCATCCCCATCTCTGCAGTGGGCAGGAGAGGGGAATGAGGAGGATGCTGGGGGAGCTGGGCTGGCCATGGCCAAACCAGCTCTGCCGTGGGGCAGGAGGGCAGCACTGCAGCTGCCAGCAGCTCCTTCCAGGGCTCGTGGGTGCTGGGGTTGGTTTGGT